AAAGAAAGAAAGAAAGAAAGAAAGAAAGAAAGAAAGAAAGAAAGAAAGAAAAGAAAAGAAAATCCAAAGCAACAGGGGCACCTGGGTGGTTCAGTCCGTTAAGTGTCTGACTCTTGGTTTTGGCTCAGGTGGTGATCTCAGGGTTGTGGTATCAAGCCCTCTGCACTCAGTGAGTCTGCTTGTCCCTGTCCCTCTGCTCCTCACCCCCAACCTCACTCAAATAAATAAATGCATAAAATCTTTTTTTAAAAAATCCAAGATAGGGGCGCCTGGGTGGCTCAGTGGGTTAAGCCTCTGCCTTCGGCTCAGGTCATGATCTCAGTGTCCTGGGATCGAGCCCCACATCGGGCTCTCTGCTCAGCAGAGAGCCTGCTTCTCCTTCTCTACCTGCCTCTCTGCCTACTTGTGATTTCTCTCTCTGTCAAAAAAATAAAATCTTAAAAAAAAAAAAAGCCTATAAAAAATCCAAGATAATAAATTTATACCCTTTGGCACCAGCACTTTTAAACAATTTTTTCCTATTTCAGCACCTTTACCATTGGATATATGCACACATTATGAATTTGTTCACATTCATTTTATAATATATTTTTAATTCAATAATTAGCATGCCCAGATGAGCACACACATGTGCTTGGAATCATTCAAGGTGCTGGGTTTTTTAATTAAAAACAGATCTATACCTAACTTCATGGAATTTACAGTCTAAAAGATCTCATGTACACAAGTCAAAATAGGTAACTTAGTGACAAAGCTATCAGAATTTTTAAGGCATGTCTCTACCTAATAAAGTCATTTTCTCATTACTCCTGGGTAATTTACCTCTTTGCCTCTGCTTTTTTATATTCCCTTGCCTTTTTTCACTTTCATTTATCAGAGAAACATAAAGCAGTAGAAATTAAATATTTCCATTTTAAATAATAATTGGATTTTAGGATAAAAGTAGGAACCTCAGCCTAAAATCTAATTTGAATATAAATAAAGTTTTAATAAATTATTGACTAATTTTTTCCAATCTATCTTTGAATCTTTTTGTTAATCATAAAAATTGTCTGTCCAAGGACAGATAAAAATACCAAGCATTTCATCCACGACATTTATCAGAATGAAAGTTAAATGGCGAGATGATGGTGAAGACTCAGACATAAATGTTACAGGTGTGTATAGTACATGGCATCATCACAAAGCAGGAGTCTCCACCATCACCTGTTTCCTTATCTTTCTCCAAACAAATCAGGCAGCGCAGAATGTGTGGCAAGGGCTTCACTATTACAAAACAACATTGATTTTGGCTCTGATCGTCTGTCGAGGTAAACTGGAGTCCGGGGCGTGGAAAGTGTTATGGGCAAGGCAATGCTGTTGGGATGTCAAGCAGCACAGCAATGGCAAATAATAAACCCTCAGAAAAAAATTCTTACACTCTCAATGTCAGGAGTCTTGGAAAGGAAGGAACACAGAGGCAACCAAGAAATCAGAGTAGTCTTTGTAGCACTGTATCTTTTCTGCACCTTGCTGTATTAACTGAGCCCCTCCTCATGACTACCAGCATCCAAGAGTAGCCAAGGAGCGCATGGAAGCAAGTAGAGGGGAAGGTGGGGAGTGGTCGGGGGTGGCATGGAGAGAAGCTTAGATGAAAGAGAGGCACATCGGGGACAATGGAGGTGGAGGTGGTGGGACAGAACGAGAAAAGGGTACAGTCTTACTAGGACTAAGATATTTGGAGATCTGACTCCCAACAGACCTCTGGGCAAAGTTCCAGGCCTTAATTAGGATTTTGTAATAATTTTTAAGAGAAAATGATTTTCCTAAATATCGCTAGTTTTTCCTTTAGTCACTTATGCCTGGATCTTATTAAAATTTCCAGTCATTCTGCTCACGTTATCTTCCAAGTACAAATGAGAAACTGAAAGGAAGGGTCCATGTCACAGCAAATGGGCATTTGAAATAAGAAATTCAAACACAAAACAAGAACCAAAGCCTATGGGACCCTGGCTAGGAAACTAGGCTACAAGCTGGGGACATCAGAACTCAGACCCTCTGGACAACTCATCTGCTCTCACCAGTGCTTAATATGATAGAGCTTGGGGGCACCTGGTGGCTTGGTTGTTTAAGCATCTGCCTTCAGCTCAGGTTTTGATCCCAAGATCCCAGGATCAAGTCCCACATCAGGCTCCCTGCTCAGTGGGGAGTCTGCTTCTCCCTTTGCCTCTGCCTGCCTCTCCACCTGCTTGTGCTCTCTCTCAGTCTCTCTCTGTTATAAATAAAATCTTCAAATATATACATATATATGTTATACATATATACAAATATGTATATATATTACAATATATTACATATATTATATATTACATTATATTAAATATATACATATGTACACATGTATATATGTATCTACATATATATATATATATATATATATATATATATATATACACCTGTATGTGTGCGTGTGTGTGTGTGTATATGCCTAAAGGAGTGTCAGAGCACATCTCATCTCAGCTAAAGACCACGGGAACAATTCAGTTCATCTGTGGCCAAGCCCAACACTAGACCTCCAATTACTCCAATTACTTTCTGCTAATAATAATAATATCTATAATACCTAGTGTGTGCCAGGTACTAGCACAGCTGTTTTATACATGTTACTTCACTCAATCCTACAACCACTCCCATGATGTAGGTACAGATTACTATCTGTGTCTTCTCAGGTGAGGCATGTGAGACTTGGAGTGGATGAGTTATTTGCGCCATCTCAAAACTTATGAAAGGGCTGAGCTTCCTCTCCAGGGCCCAGACGGTCTCCCGCCCCCAAGGAGCATGTTTATTTCCCGATCATCAGCCTCCCGCTTCCTTCACCCATGGAAACCTCTGCAGAGAAGCCCGGCTAGTTGGTGCTTCCCTTAGCTTCATTACGCTTCATTGTGCAGTAAATTACTGAATTCTGCTTAGCGGAATTGTACATAGAAAATATCATCAGAACACAAGGTCTTGAATTTAGTAATGCTGGGTTGTCTCTGTAATTGGGAGAAAAGAGTAAGAGCTTGTTTGTCCTCATTCTTTCCAAGATCCTAACTGTTCCTTGAAATGGTTTAAGCAATTTGATGCCTGAGAAGGACTTCATTATCTCCAGTTTTAACTCCTTTAGTTTTGCGTGAAAAAAAAAAAAGAATTTATAATCACGAAATAACAGGAGGGATGAGAAAGTTGATGTAATCGTAAGCTGAAATTTAACAACTCTGATAAATTACCTAACCAGTCGTTGAACCCCATGCCAGAGGCAGAAATGCGTGCAAGGCCTCAGACTAACCATATCACACCCCCTCCCAGTTATGAAAACTCCCATTTATTAAAAAGCCACCAACCAGCGCTGCCTGAGGTTGGGTGGTTGTCGAATTTCTTGTACTTTTTCCAGTTCTAGGGCAACAAAAATCACCCTCTGAGTGCCTAGGTCAAATAAATGGCATTCTTTTCTGCTGCACAGAACCTGAAGCGGGTGGCTGAGACCTGGATGGATGAATTCGCTGAGTACATTTACCAGCGGCGCCCAGAATACAGGCACCTCTCCACCGGGGACATCTCCGCCCAGAAGGAACTGCGCAAACAGCTCAAGTGCAAGGACTTCAAATGGTTCATGGCTGCGGTGGCCTGGGATGTGCCTAAGTACTACCCTCCAGTGGAGCCCCCGCCGGCGGCCTGGGGGGAGGTGAGGAGAGGCTGCATGAAACCCGCTCTTGCCTCAGTGCGTCCATCTCTCCTGGGCTCAGGTGGCGGGAGGGACCGGCTCCTCTGCCCTAGGGCCCAGTAAGATTAGTGTAAATCACCTCTGATAAATCAATGTCCAGCATTTTTTAGAAATTGCCAGGGCAGCGGGGGTGGGGGGGTGTCGAGGGATCGCTCCTGGGTGGCTCAGTCCTCAGTCCGTGAAGTGTCTGCCCTTGGGATGGGGATCATGATCTTGGAGTCCTGGAATCGAGTCCCATGTGGGGCTCCCTGCTCAGCAGGGAGCCTGCTTCTTCCTCTCCCTCTCCCTCTGCTCCTCCCGCGCCCCCCACCTGCCACTTTGGATTTTCTCAAATGAATAAAATCTTAAAAAAGAAAGAAAGAAAGAAAGAAAGAAGAAAAGGAAAGAAATTGCCAGGGAGAAACATTCAGTCCTCAGCGTTGATAGTCCCACCCAGACCTGCTATGGATTCTCTAAATGGATTTTTTTTAATACACCTGGAAAATATTTCTATGAATTTGAGATTAGTGAAATTGCCATAAGAGCTTGCAGAGTATGCAAATAGCTGTTACCCTAGAGTATCACTAAGTGTGACCTGATCTCCATGATAGAACCCCCCCTCCCCCCATCCTCCATGCATAGCCATGTAGCTATTGGCATATGCACGGATGAGGTAATGGAGTGGCTTGACTATTTTCCTAGCCAGAGCTGCTATGCAGCATCATGAAGAAATGCATTTCCGTAACACCCACAGCTGTGGCACATGGAGGAGTCACATTGGTTGCTTCAATAGGCACTACCTTTTCCACCTCAGAATGCTGCTTTTCGATTTCACTTCATGACTTAAAATGGAAAGAACTGAATAGCCCCAGTTCCCAAATTTAAAATATCTTATCTTTTTGCATAGAAAGGACTATTGTGCTGGGCGTAGTTCCATTCTGTCCTGTTACTATAGCTTTCTCCTCATAGAAAAGCATATGCTAAAGCAAGGACTAAAATTGGATAAGATGGATTTATCCTAGCAATTCAATCTGCTTTTAACAGGAGGCCATGAGGGGAAAATTGCAGGCTGGGTGGGAAGCTAGCACTGTCCTCGTTCTCAAGGCTTTCAGAAGCCAGGAGGTGACAGTGGTGCCTTGAGGGGGAGCCTTTTCATCATTGTCCTTGATTTTGTGGTGTGGGGGGAGAACATGCCTTAGCCTGGTTGGTGTCTGGTCTGTGGCTTGGCAAAGCTGTGAATACAGGTTGTCCCAGGGTGTAGCAGCAGTGACGAGGAGATGAGGCAGCGTAATTGGGTGAGCGGTTCCAGCCCCCCTTGGAAAGTGTTCCGTGCACACTGCCTGTTTTGCTAAAAGTGTCCCAAAGGATCTCCTCTACCTGGGCCTGGGATACCCGAGGCATAAAGGAGAGCGTCAAGGTCAAGAACATCACTGCACGTTCCATTGCCGAATGTTTTTGAATGCGCATGTGGTCCTCATACGGGCTGCTCAAGCCAGTTAGCAATCTGATCTGATACTTTGCGTCTTGAACATTTCATTAAAGCTTCCCTGTAATATTAGTCATATTAGTCTGCTCCCCTTAGTTTGAGGTATCTACCACGGACTTCATTTCTAGTGGTGGAAATGTAAAGTAGACCTCACAAAGAGATTTCCTAGTCTAACGCGTGGTATGACATAGGAATTTGTTGTTCAATAAGCAGGAGAGTGCCTTTATGAGGTGTTTTTGGTTCAGGTTCTATCTACCACCTGTTGTCATTTAAACGCAGTCCTGCCTTAGGGACTCAGAAATATTCTTAAAGACCTCACAACATCATTGCCTGATCCGCAGCTAGTGAAAAATCTCGTCAAGCTTTTCTCCATCTTATGTGGAAACATATTTTGGCTCCTATGTGGAACCAACTGCAACAGGTCACATTTTCCCTTCGAACCTGACTAAACCACAACCTGTAATTTGTAAAGCACCTGGCTTGGAAACAGACTCAAAGATTCCACCAATTTTCTGAGAAAAAGACACAACGGCCCCAGAAAAGTCAAAATAACCATCTGAAGGCCAGGTCGGCTATGCCAGCAGGTTGTTATTCAGTACCTTTGACTGCCTTACACCTTATGTAGCTTTCCAGGCCCATGGGAACATTTGCATTCATCATTTCTTGTCTACACAATCAGACATTGAGAAGATCGGGGTTTTTGTTTTGTTGTTGTTGTTTTTTAACACAATGGCAAATTTCTTTCCCCAAAGCTTCAGCACAGCAAGCAAAAAAAAGGTCATATTTAGGTTTAAGGAAAGAAGAAAATGGGGGGGGGGGGGCCCGGGTGGCTCGGTGGGTTAAAGCCTCTGCCTTTTCGGCTCAGGTCATGGTCCTGGGGTCCTGGGATCGAGCCCCTCGTCGGGCTCTCTGCTCAGCGGGGAGCCTGCTTCCTCCTCTCTCTCTCTGCCTGCCTCTCTGCCTACTTGTCATCTCTGTCAAAAAAATAAATGAAATCTTTAAAAAAAAGAAAAAAAGAAGAAGAAGAAAAAGAAAATGGGGCTACAGTTCAAAGGCCAGTGGCGTTCGGTTGCATTTCTTCAATGAAGGTGTGGTCCACAGGAAGAATGAAAACTAGAAGACTGGAGGAAGACAAAAAGAAAGGAAAACCACAAGTGACAAGGGTTTGGACTGGTAAATAGCTATGAAAAAGACCTATTTTCTAAGCAGAGTAGATCCTTGAGAGTAGAAATAGTGCCTGTACATTTAATCCAGGAGGCAAGAGAAGTGTTGAAATGCAGCTTGATCTAAAGGAAATCATGAAAAAGAGAACTATTTCCAACTATCTATGAGGTAATAGCAACCTACTTCTTAACAGTGGATAAAAATGACTAAATGTGCAGAATATTTCTATGGATCATTTTATCTTGGAAAACAGCTCTTTTGAAGTGATTACTCTGATGTTTTCCTTTTCCCTTTAAGAGGGCTTTTTTTTAATTTTTTTTTATTTTGGAATAATTTTAAATTTGCAGAAGAGTTGCAAAAGATGGTACCCAAAGTTCACCTCAGTTCTTCTGATGTTAACCTCTGAAGGTTTGCCACATTGACCGCAGCTCATTTAAACTAAGTAATTAACATCAGTACGCTGCTATTAACTAAACTATAGATTTTAGCCAGATTTCACCAGTTTTTTTCACTCATGTCCCTTTTCTGTTCCAGGACCCAATCCAGTATATGAGAGGGTTGTTTAAATTTCCTATAAACTTTAAATTAATTGTTAGAATGGGCAAAACTCCTAAATAAATGTAAAAGGTCAATTGCTGTTTTTGTAAGAAAGGGAAAAGGGAAAAGCAGACTCTGTGGCTCTTTGAAAGCCGTTCTAGAAAGGAACCACAAACCTCCAGCAACCTAAACACAGGAATCCTTTATGGGAGATCCGTGCCCAAAGGAGGATAACTGGCTGTTTTATGCACTTGTACTTGGAATGGTTTCCACCTGCTGTCGTGCGCCAGCCTGATTCTGGGTAAACAATGAAGTGCTTAGGCAATTTTTGGCACTGGTTGTTAGAACCCACCTTGTAAAGGATATGGTACAGGCCATAAATAGCCTATAAACTGCTACTCATTTCCCTGACAAGTTTGGCTGGATTATTGCATTTGTCTCCTAACTCGTCTCTCTGCGTCTGCCCTCCCTCCCTTTTGCTTGTTCTTAACAGAGTCCACTAAAAACAGGAGATCAGGCCTCTCCTCCATGGTAGAGATGGCTACCATCTCTGTTGGGGTAAAATTCAAAGTCCTTCTGCATGCCCTGAATGATCTGACCCTTGTTGCATCCCCTCTAACCTTGTATCTTACTACTCGCCCCCTGGGCTCCTCTTCTCTAGGGACACTGGCCTCATCACCGTTCCTCAAACAGGCCAGGCAAAATCCCACCCCAGGGCTTTTGCACTTGCTCCTTCTACTTAAAGTCCTCCCGCCCCAGGAATCCTATGGCTCATTTCTTCTGATCCTTCCTCAAAGGATCCACTTTCTCCTGATCCTTCCTCAAAAAAATTATCTTCTCAGTAAAGCCTTCACTGTTGGTCCCACTGGGGGCAACAATCCACACACACACATGTCCAGTTAGATTTGTACATTCCCAGTCCCCCTTCCCTGCTTCATTTTTCTCCTCAGCATCCATCGCTCTATTACAAGTTTTATAATGCATTTATTTATCATGTTTCTCATCTGTTTCTCACACTAGGAAGATTCATGACACAGAGATTTTGTTGAATTGTGGAGTTACTACCACTCTTCAGCAATTAAAAAAAAGTGTTTGGCATAGAGCATGCATATAATAAATATTCACTGATCGAATGAATGATGAATGAATGGAGGATTTGGGCTCCCTGTTGTCCCCCTTGCCACTCACTGCTCTGCCCAGAACCTCCATGGGGCACACAGAATCCTTACTCCGCTCCACCACACGGAGGAAGAGCCTCCGTGCCTTCCCTTGTTGGCTGTTCATCATGCGCCACTTTGAAAAGCTCGGCCAGGAAGAGTTTGAGGTCGACTCTCAGGGAACCCATCTTGATGTACTCTCAGGTCTACGGTCCCCATGATAGTCAAGCAAGATACTCAATATTCTCTTCTGATACCCTCAGGAGAAAAAGGGAAAAATCCAAAAGTGAGAATCCTCTGTTCTGGCAATTTCCAAACTCTCCCTGCCAGCTTCCTACTTAAAGGCAAGAGGAGATTAAAGTCACATCTGACAGAGCAGTGCTCTCCAGGGTAGAAGTCACTCCATCCTGCAGGTGGTGGGTACGGGGAGGATCGCCCTCAGTGAGTGGCCAGACCAGGCGGAGTGGTGTGTGGCGTGGGGGCCAGGAGAAAGAAACAGGTTTTTGAGCCGTGTCCTAAGTCGAGCAGCCTTTTGTGCCATTCAGATAGAAGCCGTGTGCTTTTCCACGCGGCTGTGCTGAATAGGGTAAGAGCAAGTTTAAAGTGAAAAACTATTCTTAAACCAGGCACATATGGAG